AATCTCTTTGATATACTTTTACCAGCAGTAGTTGGGGTTACGAGTTTCTGTCTTTTATTTTGAAAAGATGAAAAGTTTGGGAACCACTGTGTTGCTCAAGGAAACCAAACTTTTAAAAGATGACACAAAGCTGAAGAATCTCTTTGATATACTTTTACCAGCAGTAGTTGGGGTTACGAGTTTCTGTCTTTTATTTTGAAAAGATGAAAAGTTTGGGAACCACAAAAACAAAACCTTTAAAAAAATAACACAAAGTTGATGAGACTCAGTGTCCTATCAGCAAACTTTCTATACATTTTTTTATCCAGCAATAGAGACTGTGTGTCTTTTAWTTTGAAAAGTTAAAAAGTTTGGGAACCACTATACTTAAGAAATCGGCAAATTTCTTCAAGCTTCACACTAAAATAGCCACTAACTTGGAAATGTCTAAGAATATCATTTCTGTGTTTTGTTTTTATCTGCTTCTAGACCTGACTCCCACTCAGAGTCCATCTGAGGTAAAATAATATTTTATGTGTACATATGTGTGCAACTCTGACTGGGAATGAATCACAYCACATAAATCTGCCTCTTCCTGCAGGCCCCGTGCCGTAAACTGCTGACTACACTCACCAAAGGCCTCAGTGCTCAGGTTTTTAAATCCCATCATGAAATCTACGTGCCTAACTGTGACAGGAGTGGCTATTTTAAAAAGAAGCAGGTGGGTTTGCAGGGTTTCCATCAGGACTTGTGCTTTTTTGGGGGGGAGGGGATGTGCTTTTTATTGTTTGTTTCTTTGTTTGTGCCCAGTGTTGGTCATCTCGAGGCAGGCAGCGTGGAAGGTGCTGGTGCGTGGATGAGAACGGCGTACCCGTCACTCCAAAGACTAAACAGCGGGGCAGTGTGAGCTGCTGAAGATGGAGATGAAGAGACGAGACTGAGATGAAGGAACAGAAAAAAAAAAACAAAGGGACTCAAAGCCTGACTCTGCATCAGTCAGACTGAAGAGGACCGCTGGTTGTTAGTGCCCCCTGCTGAACAGATTCAGACTCTGTTGGTCGGGTTCTTCCTCACATCTGCCTGGATGAAATGTACAGTTAAAAATAAATTATACAGACTCCAGGTGGCATTTAGAGATCAAATTAAACAGACAACATGCAAACAAACATGTAAACAAGTCTCACATCAGGTCATTCCACTTGATGGTTCTCTTCCAAAAAATGATTGAACTTTCAGTAAAAAGTTATTTTAATTTAAATAATGTCTGAAACCATGAACCACTATTAACATTACAACTTTCAACGTGTTTTTCATTGTTTTGTATGTTTGTTCTGATTTTACCATATTTATATATTTTCTGTATTTTTTTTGTAACTTAAAGCTTCTTTAATTATATTACTGTTCTTGCTGCAAACAAATATAACCATATTTATATTACTGTAAATATGTCTATTTATGTTAATAAAGACCATTCAGAGTTACAGGTGTGCACACTAGAATTGGTAAATGGACGGTACTTATATAGCGCCTTTCTATCCATCCAGGACACTCAAAGCGCTTCACACTGCAGACATTCACCCATGCACACACACATTCACACACTGATGATGGCAAACTACAATTGTAGCCACAGCTGCCCTGGGGCACACTGACAAAAGTGAGGCTGCCACCAAACCCTCTGACCACCATCAGTAGGCAAGGTGGGTAAGGTGTCTTGCCCAAGGACACAACAACTGAGTCGACTGGACAGGGATCGAACCAGTGACCTTCCGGTTCCAGGATGACTCCCCTAACCACTCTACCACAGCTGCCCCAAATTTAGGAATCTGATTTACTTTTTAACACTTGGTAGCTTTAAAAAGTGATAAAAATGAATTATATTATGTTTAACAGACTTGTTTTGTGTATTTTTATGTGCTCTTGTGAATAAAACAAAAAGTACATTTGTTCAAAAGGCACACTGATTTCAAGAAAAAATAAGAAAATCAAGAAATCAAACATCAGCTGGTGTCTGTGTTTCATGTGACTGTCCAAGTTAAAATAATCAATAATGGCTGCAAACAATATTTTGCATATATACAGTATTACAGCAGCAAACTCATTTTTGCACTGAACTTTTATAAATGGAGAACATATTTGTGTGTGTGTGTGTGTGTGTGTGTGTGTGTGTGTGTGTGTGTGTGTGGGTGTGTGTGTGTGTGTGTGTGTGTGTATGTTTCCTCCCTTATGTAAGAAATGCTAAAAGTGATCAGGAATGCATGTTCAGATTCAGACAACTTTATTTATCCCCAAGGGCATTTCATTTCAGCAGTTTCAAGGTTCACACAGATACACACCCACACAGACATATGCTTATACATAACAAATAAATAAAACGAAATATATAATAATTATAACACTGTTCAATGTGCTATATATTTTTATGGCACATTGATTTTTTATGTAAAAAAAATCTACTTTTTTGGAATATCTATAAGACAAGTAGCCAAGAAGAAATATGGTGAATAGATTAGATGACTATAATAATAATGTAAAGTACAAAAATAATAAGAAATTTTAAAATTTATTGTATGTATTTAGCWTTGTAATGTCACACCCACAGGCCAGGAAAAAAGGCCCCCGGGTTGCCCACAGACCACCAGTTGATAATCACAGTTGTAGCACATTTCAGGGCTCCAGACACTTTTTATTAGTGAGACAAGAGGCAGAAATGGCTCTTTCAGTTATAAAGGATACTTACCTTGTGGTCTAGAAGAGAAGGGAAAAAAGAAAAGGTCTTTTATATATTTTAACTAAACAACCCATTATCTTTGATCCACAAATATACRGTAGGTTTATGCTTTATTATTTTTGAAACAATGTTTCTATAGAATATATTTCATTCTTCATCAATATTTTAATTTGTGTTTGCAGTGAAGGCAACATTCATGAGCCAAATACAGAAAACTCAGCCTTTTTTTATTATACTGGACTGTGTAAAACACAAAATCAGCTACAATGGGCAGACGTTGGATCAGTGTGTGTGTGTGTGTGTGTGTGTGTGTGTGTGTGTGTGTGTGTGTGTGTGTGTGTGTTTTGACTCACAGCAACTCCTGAACTGCAGGCAGACTTCAGCCTGCTTTACATACACAGGAGGACTTCCAGGCATCAACAAGCTGCTCCCAGACTGAAACACCCGAGGAAGAGACATGTCTTCTCCCTCCTCCTCCTCCATCTCCACTCTGAAGCCCAAGAGGAAGACCAAGAAGAAGCACTTCGTTCAGCAGAAGGTGGAGGTTTTCCGAGCCAGTGACCGGGTGCTGAGCATCTTCATGTGGGGGGTCAATCACTCGGTACAGAAACGAACCGCTTTGTGCTTTAAACACATTTTTTTTTAAAATAATGTGGACCTGAACTTGTCTSTCTCTTTCTCTCCCTCTCTTCTTCCTCCTCACTGCCCAGATGAACGACCTGAGCCAGGTGCCCATACCTGTCATGCTGCTTCCAGATGACTTCAAAGCCAGCACCAAGATCAAAGTCAACAACCATTTCTTCAACAAGTAAAGAGCTCCTCTCTGCTCCATCCGCCCYGCTTCCTGTGGACCGCACAGATTTCTCTGGTCCTCCTTCTGATTTATTCTCCTGGGCTTATCAGAAAACAGCAGACCCCCTTTAGAGAACAACGCTGCTTTTTCTCCTCTAARTGCACCTTTAACACTTTAACAAAGTGGTGTATGTGTCAAATCATGAGATAACACAAGGATGCTGTGCACTAAAGATAGACAGCCTGCTTTAACCATCGTGTGAGTTATTTTTGTGTAACATGACCAAAAAAATCTTTATTTTATTCATAGAAACCAGGCTCTACATGGTTCCCATCCTGAGTAAAACTGAGTGGCTTTCAATAATCCTTTAATCCATTCAGGAATCTTTTAAAGACTTTGTGATCAGAGGTGGGAAAGGGAAAGAAATGTGTTTTTTCTCGAGCTGAAGGGCTGTAGATTCAAKTTGATGTTTARTTAAATCGAAACAATTAAGCAGCACAAATCCATAAATTCATCCACCTAGACAGAAACTGAACACTTTGTGAGGGCTGTTACAACTAAATTACCTTTCTTCTTCTTGTTCTGTTCTGTTTCAGGGAGAACCTACCTGCTCAGTTCAAATTCAAAGAGTACTGTCCACTGGTATTCAGAAACCTGCGAGAGCGCTTTGGCATCGAGGATCAGGATTACCAAGTACAAAAAACAACACGAGACAAACCCATGATTGTGGAAAAGTGGAGAAAAGTTATTTTCTCTGAACTGGAAGAATAATACAGATAAAATACACACACACAAACAAAGACATCTTTCAGAGTTCCCTCCTTTGGTGGAGCACGTTTATTGATCTGCTCCAGCTTACATTTGCATGTCTTTGTGTTGTATTTGCATGTGCCAGGTGGTGCACCCAGTCAGTGCACGCTAATTTGCTTAGATTATACGATTACAGGAAACCTGCAAGACCTAATGCAAGCATTGCATTATCATAAAGTTTAAGATTGCTTTCAAAAACTGTGCACTGAAAATGTGGTGAAATATTTGAGCTGTAAAGAAATGTTTGTCCAGAGGCTACATGTTAATCACGTTACATCCCTCTATAAGGTGTCTCTGGCTCGCAGTCCCCCTCACAAAGATGAAGAGGGGAAATGYGTGGGGCTGCTGCTGACGTCATACGACCGCACTTTGGTGGTGAAAGAAATTTCCAGTGAGGAGGTGGAGGAAATGCACAACATCCTCTCTGAGTATCACCAGGTAGGACTTTTTGTTGTGTGACAGGAGGTGTGTAAATCCTGGAAAAGGAAGACATTTTAAGCAATTTATAATTATATGTTCATACTCTTTTTTTATTTAATAACTGATTTGTTCTAACTTTGTGATCTTCACTTGTTATTTGTGTCCTCATTTTACTATAACCATAGCAATAACTCGACACTCACCACATCAAAGCTAAAAGATGATTGACAGTTAAACGACATGATGATGATCAAATTTTTACCAGGTTTTACAATATTTTACAATTCTACAATTTCTAAAGAAAATAAAATAAATAAAAATGCAGTGTTACAGTGAAGCAAGTGTCTCAACTGTCGACAATTTGCAAACACCATTTTGGCAGTTTCCAAAATGTTTCATCACGTTTACAACAGTTTTGAATCTTTTTGTATGAGGCATAAGTTCTCATTCAACTCATTACTCTGAACCTTTGAACATGTTTTAAAAATTCACAATAACTACCCACTCAAAACTGTCAGAGTTGTTGTGGACTTCTGGAACTCGTCTCAAACCCCTTCTCAATTTTGTTTTCCTAATTCCAGAGCACTGAAGCTGTATTTTATGTCAACATGTAAGCAATCAGTGGATTTCGGTTCAAACTTATAGGTTTATTCAAGCATATTCAGCAAACATCTTCACATTTTCAGGTAATTTTGTCTCCCATACTTGCAGCTGCTTTAATCATGAAGTAAGTTTTGTATTTTARGGATTTTTTTTACACGAGAACCCAACAGAATAAAAAGCTTAAAGAATGATGACATCTTTTTTTAAGTTGTGATTGTCAGAACTCCTCACAGACTGATGTTTGCAAACATCACTGTGAGAGTTGAGAGCAGGTGGAACAGAGAGAGGTGGATTGGAACTTTGGAGAGACGAATAATAAAGATCAGAGGAAGAAAGACACAACGTTTGTAGATGAGGGGGAGAGGGTGTAGCAAAGAGCAGAGGCACTGAAGGCGGGCGAAGCATCCAAAGCAACAGACAGCACAAAGAGAGGTGACGTGAGAGCAGACAGGCTGTATTGTGACAGAGGGAAAGCGCACTGCTTCATGYTACCTTGAGTAGTTGTTGCCTGTTTTGTTCTCTTCCAGCATATTGTCACCTGCCACAGCAGCACCCTGCTCCCTCAGTTCCTCTCCATGTACAGAGTGACCGTGGAGAGCGAGGACACCTACCTGTTAGTGATGAGGAACGTGTTCAGCCACAGGCTGCCTGTGCACAGGAAGTACGACTTGAAGGTAAATACTGCAGAAGATGTGTTTTTTTATGCTGTCCACTGTCATGCAGAGAGATTAGTCAAAGCGAAAATGTCTTCAAATTATACAGCGGGTAAAATAAGCATTGAACACGTCACCATTTTTCTCACTAAATATATTACTAGAGGTGCTAATGACATGAAATTTTCACCAGTTGTCGGTAACAACCCAAGTGATCCATACATACAAAGAAATCAA